GCCCTTTATTATACTTTATCCAAAGATAAGGGAAAATTCTGTTTCCACACACTAAATTATCTCTTTGTACATCTTTTCTCAATCCATACATTTAGTAATTTGATTTTTACTTCTTTATTTCAGTACACACACTTCACATTCCAAATATACCCTTACCTTCTCTGTGCACATCCTCTCCTTCCATCCTTTCTCACTCTAAAACCTTAACCCTAACTACACCAGCTACCGGTGACAGCGACAACGACGACATCAACCACCGCTCCTTCCCAACCTCTTAGCCATTCTCGCACAACCCCTCACGCTGCCGTCACCTCCATCACGATCATCACCGGTCGCCGTCACTTCTGTGATCCACATCCCCACCATTTCCCTAGTCTTCTCTGCCCCCTTCCCAATCCACTCTGCCCCTCCATTGTGATGCAACCCCTCCCCCTCACCACGATCGATCGATTGATCGATTAACAGAGAAAGAAAAAAAGACACAGAGAGATTTGATGGTTGATGCTCGAACAAACCGTATAGATTCCATAGTTGATATCTGTACACACTCAATTGGTTCGGCGATTGATATCCAAACGACGACGATTTGTTCGACACTGGTTGTCCGAACAGTCGTGATTTCTTCGGCGATCTACAGAGAAAGAAAAAAAAACGAAATTGGAAGGTTAGGGACTGAAAATAGTGGGGAAAGTGAAAGAAAATGCTGTGTATGGTTGAGGTTTGGGCATGGGAGGCGATGGCCAACGGTGGTGGGTGAGATGTGTATGGAGAAATTGTGAGATGTGTGGGTGAAATGGTGGTGGGTGAGATAATAATTTTGTGAAAGGATAAAATTGTGATTCTAAAAAATTCATTAAGTGTGTAGAGTAAGGAAACTTGGTGTGTGGAAACAAAATTTCCCAAAGATAAGGGGAGATCAATATAATTTCCCTTTATTAAATTAGTGTAAATTACAAATACACCCTCTAAAATTTGTTTAAAATACGAATTGTCCCTTATAGTTTGAAAAATTACAAATATCATATTATCATAATTTTTTATATAATAGAAATAATTGAAAAAAATAAAATTACTAACTTCTCTCCTATACAATTGTGATAACCCCACCACGTAACCTACTTATATTTTTTAAATTTTGAATTGTGATTATGTGCTATGTGTTTAATTTGTATGTAACTCTCTGATTTGTGAATTATCTGTTTTGATTTATGTTTTGAATTTGAAATTGAAAGCATTAATGACTTCAAAAAACCGAAATTGATGAGTTTAATTAGGATATCATAATTTTTAGAGTCTTTTGGGAAGTTTGATTAAAATTTGATTTAGGTTAAAAAAATCAAGTTTCACTTAGTTAGCTTAAAGCCTAATTAATTAGTGCTTAATATCTAATTAGTACAATAAGCTAATCAACATGTATATAAGAGTTATGAGAGGGAATTGACTTATTTTTTAGCTCAAAATTTGCTAGAGAGAGAGAGAGAGAGTAAGTTCATCTTAGAGAGAGGGAGCTTGAGGGCTTGGAGATTTTGCTAAAGGAATTGAAGAATTTAAAGAGAAGATCAAGATTGTGCAAGATTAAAATTAATTCAAGGCTATAGGTATGGAGTTCAACCTTAATTCATGAACATAACTTACCTAGCTTATGAATTCAAGAAGAATATGAGATTAATCAAAAGAAAATAGCTTAAAATGATGAATTTGAAACTAGACATACATGCATGCATCAATGTGTAGAGATTCATCATTTTCATCATCATTTTTGTTATCTATGTTGAATATGGGAGTTTAAGCATACATGCATCCATGAATTATAATGTTTTGAAGTTCAATTTCATATTTTGAGAGAGTTCTGGAAAAGAGTTTGTGAACAATTTATACATGCATGAAGATTTAAGTTTCAATTTTAATGAATTCATGAAGTTTTGAGCTAAGGGTTTGAAATTGGTTATATACTCATGTTTTTGGAAGTGTTTTCATGGTTTGGTGTGTGTCATGCAAGATTTTACATTTTGAACTCATGTTTTGAATTTCAAAATTCTATTTTGAAAACTTGTAATTCGACTGCATCGCTCGAGCAATGAAGTTACTACTTGAGCACACATTACAAATATCCAGCAGTTTTGTAGATCGTTTGAACGACCAATAGTCTGCCCAAGCGACTTCAGTTTTCATTGCACCTAACTCGAGCAACCATCAAGTCTAGATTTTGAGTATCCATTACTTTTGCAGGCCATGTAGTCTGCTCGAGCGACCAATTGTGCGCTTGAGCAAACTGCCATGTTCCAGCATATTTTTGAAAGTTGTATTCGGTCTATGTTTGCATTCTTATTTCTTTTCGAGCATTCTTAGATATGAATTAAGTCTCATGAATGAATTAATAACTTAGAAATAGACTTAAAGGAATTGATTAAGAAAGGAATAATTCAATTAAACTATATGTTCCAATGTGTGAATATGTTTATGTGTTATGTAGGTTGATCCACGGAGACGTGACAACAATCTAACCACTATGAGTAATATCTTAGTAAAGATATTTTTATATAATCTATTTTCTAAATGTTCTATTGTGGTAAGTTTTTCTAAACCTATGATTTCGTAAATATGAATGACCTTTCTATCTATCTAATCAATATGATATCTGTAATGTAACTGACTAAGTACAAATGTGTATGATAGACCCAAGGATGTTCTGTACATCTGATTAGTCCAAGATTTCTATTATTTGTTTGACCAAATGGTCATTGCAATGATCTGATACAGCTATAATCCAAAGGTTGTTCTATCAAGCTATGATATGTTCGGTTCTATACATTATATGTTAGACAAAGGTCGTTCTGTCATGTATTGGATCAGAGGTCGTTCCGCTATGTAAATAATTTGATATGATAATGATTTTATTGAAGTATTGAAACTTATTCATGAAAGCCTTTACTTTGATGTTATTTACTAGGCTTTAACTCACTCTTATATCTATATATGTAGGTGAGCAGCGGGATATTCAGTCCTAGAGTTGTTTGAAGATTACCCAAGTTTTTGTGTTGTCAACCGAGAAGTGGCTCTTGGATAAGGTTTTTACCTTTTTTTATTTTTGTAGGTCATGTTTGATCACATTTTGTTTACTCTTTGAGTTATTGTAAGATGATGACTTGTACTCCATGTATGGTATTTTAATATGTAACCATGTATGTAGGGGTGCTCGCGGATCGATTTTTGACGGTTCATTTTGCAGTTTGGACCTGCTTGCATGTCTGAGGCTTGGAAAAAATTGAACCTACAACTGCTCGCAGTGCAGATTGCAGTTTGTGTAGATAAGGTTCGCGAATGTGCGAGCAGTTTGTGAATTGGGTTTTTCCTTTAAAATCTCTTTCTTTTTTTCTTTTCTTTTTTTTTTCCATTTCTTAACTATTCTTTTTGGGACTTTCTCCCATATTATTTTGGACTATAAAATTGCATATTTCTAATCATGAAATCCTTATTTTTTAAATGATTTATCCCAAATAAATTACAGTCTATTTATTCAATTTACTTCCAAAAGGAAACAAACCATAAGTACAAGTCAGGATTAGTCAATTGACTCATATTCACTTTGCAGAAAAGGTATAAGGTAAATAATGTATACATATGCGGGTGAGTGAGTGCGAGTATGGGTACGATTAAAACTCACGAACCACCCGCAACTCGTAAAATAGGAAAATCTTAACCCGCATTCGACCTAAACAATTATGCGAAACCTCGTAAATAGGTGTTAGCGGTTCGGGTCGGGCGATTTTCGTGAGTCGGATAACCCTATACTCAACCCTACATGTATGTATGAATGTATTTTTTATGTGAGTTATTAACTTATAAGTCTTCCGATATACCATATATACACAACTCATTAGACAATTTATTATCATTGTTTATTTGCTTCTATTTCTGGCCCCATATACTTAATTACGTTTAAAATTTCTATTAGAGACTGTAAGTAATCTCATGATTACTGACCGGTTATAATCTAAACCTCTAAGGGGCGGGTTCGGGCCGTGATAATAATAATAAAATTATCTGAATTATTATTTGAAATAAATTTCTAATATTATTTAAAATTATTAATTAATTTTATAATTTATTAATAGAAAACTATTTATTATAAAATTTGAAACTTTAAGAAGCAATTTAACTTTTAAAACTATAAAAGTAATACGGCTTCGTTTGGGAAGTGGATTGACTTTTTGGTTATTTAGCATGGAGTTAAAAAAAAAAAAATTCGAAAGGCAAAACGACGTCGTTTTGCCTTTCGAGCCAAATTCGAGCCGCGATTTTCGGGCCCTCAAACATTTTTCTTGTCTTATTTGGCAAAAAAGTTTATTTAATTTTTTGGGACTTTTTTAGCCAAAAAACCTCCAAACCAACTTGTGAAACGGAGTTTACGTATTTCAAACAAACTTAATCGGAAAAAAAATAATAATAATAATAATTAATTTTTTAGAGTTGAGATTTTTTTTAGCTTGCAACTAAAAAAATTCGTTTAGTAAATTTTTTTTATTTTTTTTTGACTTTTGTAAAAAATAAAATAATAATGGGTTAAATATAAATATAAATTTTTATTTTATTGACTTATTTAATTTATTTTTTTTATTTTTTTTAGTCCGAGATAGCCAAATGAAGCCTTAAAAGGATTTGTAATTTACCATTAAATTATTATCCTTTTATGTTGACCGAGTTTTTTTTAATTTTTTAATTTTTAAGTTAAAGCCATCTGATTCTCTCTCAATAAAATAAATTAAATTAAATTAAAGTCATTCCATTATTTTCTCTCTCCTCCCTTTTTTTTTTCTTCTGTCTCCCCTCCAATCTGGCAGCGGACCGTCCTTTACCGCGTTCACGCGGATGTATATTTGTCGCTTCTTCGTGGGTGACTACTATATATAACTCTCCATCTCCTCTCTCCTTCCAGCAGGTGCAGAACGAACCCATCATCTACCTCTTTCTATATATACACACACCTCTCTTTTTTTTTTTTTCCCCCCCCCCCCCCTCTCTCTCTCTCTCTCTCATCACCAAAAACCAAAAACAAACAACCCAAATTCACAAAAACCAATACCCATTTCTACAAATTCACAAAAACCAATACCCATTTCCATCTCTATATATTATCAAGTACGATTGTTGTTGTTGGTTGAGATTGAGAAAAATGCCGTCATTGGAAGAGGAGTTGTTTCCGTCAACCCCGGGTAAGTTTAAGATCGACAGAGCCCACGCGATTAATCGCCAGTTCCACCGATGTTTCGCCTCCACGAGCACCATGTTTCTGTGGGCCCTCTTCCTAATAGCCCTAACGGCGTCGTATTTGAGTTTCCAGAGTTTCGTCGATTCCGGTAGCCGGTACTTCTCCGCCTCATGGGGCGGTATCCAGTGGGAGAAACAAGTCCGCACCTCCGCCGAGATCCACCGCTCCGGCGGACTCTCCGTCCTTGTTACCGGAGCCGCCGGTTTTGTCGGCAGCCACGTGTCCCTCGCTTTGAAAAAACGCGGTGATGGAGTCGTTGGGATCGACAACTTCAACAACTACTACGACCCTTCTTTGAAAAAATCCCGAAAAGTCCTTCTCGCTTCTCGTAATATCTTCATTGTCGAGGGTGATATTAACGACCAGCGTCTTTTAGCAAAGCTCTTTGATGTTGTGGCTTTTACGCATGTTATGCACTTGGCTGCGCAGGCTGGGGTGCGATACGCCATGGAAAATCCGAATTCTTATATCCATAGCAATATTGCCGGGTTGGTTACCCTTCTCGAAGCTTCTAAATCCGCTAACCCGCAACCCGCTATTGTGTGGGCTTCATCGAGTTCGGTTTACGGGTTAAACGACAAGGTACCATTTTCCGAATCGGATCGGACCGACCAACCCGCTTCTCTCTACGCTGCAACGAAAAAGGCGGGTGAAGAAATAACCCATACTTATAACCATATTTACGGGTTGTCGGTAACGGGTTTAAGGTTTTTCACCGTTTATGGCCCGTGGGGGAGACCCGACATGGCGTATTTTTCTTTTACTCGGAATATATTGCAAGGGAAGCCGATAACGGTGTACCGGGGCAAAAACCATGTGGACTTGGCCCGGGACTTTACCTACATTGATGACATTGTGAAGGGGTGTATCGGGTCGTTGGATACGTCTGGGAAGAGTACCGGGTCGGGTGGGAAGAAGAAGGGACCCGCTCCTTATCGGATCTTTAATTTGGGTAATACATCGCCGGTGACTGTTCCGACGCTGGTGAGTATTTTGGAGAAGCATTTGAAAGTAAAGGCGAAGAAGATTATCTTGGATATGCCGGGAAACGGCGACGTTCCGTTTACCCATGCGAATATAAGTTCGGCCCGAAGAGAACTCGGGTATAAACCCACAACCGATTTGCAAACCGGGTTGAAGAAGTTTGTTAGGTGGTATCTATCTTATTACGGCTACAATCATGGGAAGCCTGTAAATTAATTTCCATTTTAAACTTTTGTTGTCATAGATTTTCTTGTTTTCCGGGGAAGTGGAGGAAAAGAAAATTCAACTAAAAAAGAAAAAGAAAAAGAAAAAGAAAAACATATACCAAAAAGAAAAGAACATATTCGTTACTTGGGGATTAGGGTGGAGAAGACTGTTATCCTCTGTTTGTAGTTTTGTTTTCACTTTATTTCTTTGTAAATGACAAAGTTTGATGTGTTCTTTGTTTGGTAACATGACTATCTTTATTTTCACACTATGGGAATTTTTTTTTTGTTTTTTTAAATCCGACGGTGTTGGAATTTTTTTTGTAAGTAAGTTTTCAAAAAGAATTTTAAAAATACCAATTAATTGTATTATACTGTTGGTCTCTTGTAGTTTAGTATTTGAGGTTTATTAAGGTCAAGTTTAGGAAGTGAAAAAAAAGTTAAAAAATTATTTAAAAAGTTAAAAAATTATTACTATTTATCAAAAGTCAAAAATTACGGTTGCACAATTCTCAATCTTAATTTTTTCTTGTACACTAATTTATACAATTTTTTAATACATATTTTTTCATAAAAAGTTAAAAATTTAACCCAAATAATCATATTTTTTTTTTCAACTTTTTAGTTCAAAAAGATAAAAAGTACACTTATTTAGGACACCCCAAACAACTCCTAAAATTCTAATAGTAATGGTATTTGTTGAAGTGTTGCGTTATGTTGCGTGGGTTGTATAATAATCAAGATTGTATTTGATTTTTTGTTTTTAAATATTTTTTTGTTAAATAATGCTGAAATTAATGTCATTATTAGGAAAGAAAAATAATCATGTTTGGTTAGAGTTTTTCAAAAATTCTTTTTAGAAAATTCTACTTTCTTATTTTTTGTATTTTTTTGTTTTTATTGAATTTTTTTTAATATTTTAAGTAATTTTTTTTACTTTTTAGATATACCTAACATAAATATACTTAAAAAGTAAAAAATTTGTGAAAGAAACCTTTTAAAAATTCACTAAATATTAAAAATACAAAAAAAATACGAGAATTCTGTACATATTTTGTATTTTTATATATTTATTAATTTTTTAAAATATTTTTTCACAAGTTTTTTACTTTTTAGATATATCTAAGTAAGGTGCATCTAAAAAAGTAAAAAAAAAATGTTTAAAATTTTAAAAATATTCACTAAAAACAAAAAAATATGAAAACCAAAAAACTCAATTTTTAAAAAACTTAATTCAAAAAACTTAAACCAAACACACTGAATACTTTTATTTAGCCTTCATTTGACATTGACTTTTTTAACAAGTTTTTTTGTGTTGGGATTTTTTTAGTCTCTTTTGATTTGGTTGTTTTGGCTTTCTTGACTTTTGTGAAAAAAAATGTGTAATGATTATAATTTGAATGTGATATTTTATCTTATTAGCTTATATAGTTAATTTTATCTTTCTGTATTTTTTTTAATCAAAAATATTTAGCCAAATGACCCCTTAAATTACATGATTTTGATAAAAACAAAAATTGCTTGGAAATTAAAAAAAAAAAATTTCTTTTTGGAACTCAAATATTACTATTATTTTTGGATGGTAGTGACATGGGAACAAATTGATTGAATAAAAATGAAAATAGAGTGTAAATATAAAAAAAGAATTTTTAGATATTTATATAGGGATTAGACAAGTTCAAAGTATGATTGACGTTGGAAAGAGACAGCTAATGGGTGATGGCAAAACCCAAAAGGACAGCTGGTACTATAAAACAAATATTCCTTTTATCTCAAAATAATACCCTTTTCGTCCTAAAATAATAATTTTTTTTGTTGAGAAATTTTTTTTATAATACAATTATTACACTTTAAAAATATTAATTTTTTAAAATTATCTTTTAATAATATATTTTTTAAGAATATCAATTATTATAATTATATTTTTTGTGTTATTAATAAATTTAAAAAAATGATAAAGGAAGAAATTCATATTATTTTGGTCTTTGATTTTTTAAAATAGAGTAATATTTTAAGACAATGAAAAATAGAATAAATGACTAATATTTTGGGATGGAAGAAATAATGTCAAATTCAATTCAAAACGATCTTTAAAACTCATAACCAAATAAATTTCCTCACTCAAATCATAATTTCAAAACTCACAAATTCAAAATATAACTTTATTATCAAATCATAATTTTAAAACTCTACCAAAAGCTATCTTAATTATTCAAAATTATTTTTTTCGAAGTCATAATTAGTGTGTTTGGTTTTAGTTTTTTTAATTCAGTTTTCTGAAAATTGAATTATTTATTTTTCGTGTTGTTTTTTTGTTTTTTGTGAATATTTTTTAAATTTCAAGAAATTTTTTTACTTTTTTAGATACACCTTATTTAGATGTATCCAAATAGTGAAATATTTGTGAAAAATATTTTAAAAAATTAACAAATATACAAAAATACAAAAAATATATTGAATTTTCTTTTGGTATTTGGTGAATTTTTTTAAGATTTTTTTATAAATATTATACTTTTTAAGTGTATTTATGTTAAGTGTGTCTAAAAATTTTAAAAATTATTTAAAATATTAAAAAAAATTCATTAAAATATAAAAAATAAAAAAGTAAAATTTTTTGAAAATTGTTTTCTAAAACCAAAATCAAAACTTTTTATGTATTGTTTATAAGGAAAATTAGTCTAAGGTCCCTATTTCATTTTTAGTAATGGAAGAGATCCACAATATTATTTTATGATGTCTAAGGTCCCTCAATCCCGCTCTCTCTCTTCTTTCTTCTCTGTTCTCGTTCTCGACCTTTGCGCATCTCGTTCTCGACCGTTGTGTCTCTCATTCACCGGTGCATATATATATATATATATATATCTCTTCACCTCCGTCGCTGTAGTGCCACCGACTAACTACAATCACCGCTATCCTTTTCGTGAGTTCGAGCTCTGGTCTTATCTTTCCTTTATACTCACAGGAATTGAACTCGGAAGCATAAACGAGCCGCAGAGGTTGATCTTCGCTGACTCTGCGATGGTCTTGCTTGTAGTTTTGACACCATTGACAATGTCAAGACTAAAATCCAGGATAAAGAGGCTATCCCACCAGACCAGCAAATGTTGATCTTTGCTAGCAAGTAGCTCGAAGACGGGCAGTTGAAGTGAAACGAGCCGATCACAGAGGTTCCAGATCGATGTGGAGAGTGAGCCATTGATCAAATTGTTGCCCAAATTGATGTAGGAGAGAGAAGAGCTGTAGCCAAGCTCGAGAGGGATGGTTCCAAAGAGTGTGTTGACGTTGAGATAGAGGCTTTGGAGGTTTGAGAGCTTGCCGAGCTCTTTTGGGAGTGTTCCAAAGAGTCTAGTTGAAGAAAGTTGTAAAAAGAGAAGGTGGAGAGTCCAGGAAAGGCCAGGAAAGGCCAGGGAGTCCAGAGAAATTTCTAAAATTTCTCTAGAGAGGTAATTTTGTAGGAAGGCCAGGAAAGCCAGAGAAATTTTCAAATTTCTCTGGAGAGTGGGAAGTATATGGAATGCAGAGAAAACAACTGGTTAGAGATATTTTCAAATTTTCTCTAGAAAGTCCCAGAATTTCTCTGTGAAGTCGAATTCTCTCTAGATTAATTTGAGAAACCTTAGACCTTAGACATTATTAAATTTCTTTGGAGAGGAAGGCCAGAGAAATTTTCTAGAAAGTGGGAAGTATAAGGAAGGTAGAGAAAAAAATTTCTCTGGAGACCTTGCCATAAGGAGGATAATTGACCTTAAAAATTGTTTCAAGATTGTTGTTACCTATATCCACTATTGAATCTCCAAACATTATCACCGCCGGTATTGTCACATTCTCTAGCAACCTTATCATAGCTTCTCTGATGTCCAAAAAGAGAATAAAGACACAGAACAAAGTTAAAGAAGAAGAAGAAGATTTTTGAAAGATGAGCAACAACATTGTTTGGGAAACTTTTCAAAAGACCTATAGTTGATACCTGAACTAACTGATAATTCAATGCTTCAAACGTATTAATCAAAGCAAAAGACTTTTTTGTATTCAAACTATATAGGACAATAGTTATTTTGGATCTTGATGCATTGGATTCAATAGAATTGTTGTTCTGAACTATCATAATTATGTTATAGCAGTTGGGTACTTCAACGGAGATGTCATTGAAGTTGTTAAATTTTGCCATTGCTATCAAAGGTTTGATGTATTTTATAGAGGTCAGTGATTGAAAAGATGAGATGATGAGTTTTGACATTTTGCACTATAAATGGCCTGCAAAAATTAGAAAAGAGCTAGAGAAATTTGTGAAATCAGAGAATTTTCCTAGGTAGTTACACAAACTTTCTCTTTACAATTTTCTCTGGATTTCTTTGGTACTCAGAGAAATTTCAATTTTCTTTGGTTTGAATTCAGAGAATTTCTCTAAGACTGAAATTTCTCTAAATCGATGTTGAGGGACCTTAGATATCATAAAAATATTTGATATTCTTTATGCTATAAAATTTTAATATCAGAAACTTTAAAAAAATCCCCCATGTTTATATTGTTAATAAATTTAAAAGATAGATAAAAAAAAATTCATAATATTTTAAAACAATAAAAAATAAAATAAAAAGCTATATTTTGAACCGAAGAGTAAAATAAAAATAAAAAGGGCAGTTGGTGTGTGAGAGAGAGAGAAAGAGAGAGTGAGAGTGAGTGATCTCAATAAAAAGAGTGTGAGAGCGTGAAATACGGGTGGGTAACCCCACCCATGTGAATCCGGATCCTCGGTAGCATTTTCCTATCGCCATTTCCTGTAGCCCCCCAAAACGACGTCGTTTTGGGGGGTTTTTTTATTTTTTTTTCTTTTCTTTTTCTTCTTTCTCTTCCATCTGTGTTTGGTAGAAACCAAGAGGGGGTACAAACCAGAGGGGGAGGGGAGAGGAAGGGAGAAGAGAGAGAGGAAGGGAGAAGAGAGAGAGAGTGAAAGCAGACAGAGAGAGGGACAGAAATGGAAGCTCGAGGGGAAGAAGAGAGAGAGGAAGGGAGAAGAGAGAGAGACTGAAACCAGAGAGAGAGAGTGACAGAAATGGCGAGAAGCTCCTCGCCGGCCTCGCCGGCCGTGACCCTCCTCATCGCCGAGAAGCTCCTCGCTGGCCGTGACCCTGAGAAGCTCCTCGCCGGCCTCGCCGGCCGTGACCCTCCTCATCGCCGAGAAGCTCCTCGCTGGCCGTGACCCCTTTATGCTATAAAATTTTAATATCAGAAACTTTAAAAAAATCCCCCATGTTTATATTGTT